CTTCCTATATATATATATATCATCATCATCATCATCACCACCATCATCATCAAACCTTTTTTCCAACTAATTGGGGTCGACTATATGAAACTTGGTTTGCCATTCTGCTCTTTAAGGGTCATACCCTTAGTAAGGCCAGAAGTCTCATATCTTTTCTCATTACTTCCGACTACGTCCTTTTGAGCCTATCCTTTGACATTTTTTAGCCTTTCACTTGAACTAACTTGCACCTCTTAATAGGTATTGTATTGGGTCAACGTCATACATGACCAGCCCACCTAATTCTACTCTCTCTCATCCTATCGCTTATTGGTGTCGCACCTAAATTTTCCCAAATGTATTCACTCCAAATATATCATTTCTTGTTTTTCCACTGATCTATTTCAACATCTTCATCTCCACTACACTTATTCTATGGGTATATCGTTTTTTGGCGCCTAACATTCCACCCCATAGAGTTACAGTTGTTCTATAGAACTTGCCTTTCAACTTCATTAGTGGCAATCAGATAAAATTCTAGTTGTACATCTCCACTGCGCCCACCCAGCTCTAATTCTATATGCAACATCTTTTTCAATCTCTCAATTTTCCTTGATTATCGACCTAATATATTGACAGTGCGTTTTTTTTTATATTTTTTGGCCATCAATCTTAACTACTTCATCGTCTCTATTTATATTATTACTATACTTGTATTCAATATACTATGCCTTAGTTTGGTTAATTTTTAAACTTTTAGATTCTATAGCATTCCTCCAAAGTTCCAACTTTGTATTGACACTGTTTTGAGTCTCATAAACTCATCAATAAAAACTATGTCTTCTGCGAACAACATGCACCTCAATACATCATCTTGTAGGTGCTTAGTTAAGTCGTCTATAACTAAGCCAAAGAGGTATGAGCTCAATACTGACCCCTGATGTAGACATATTATCACTGAAAATACATTTGTCTCTTTACTAGTTGTTCGTATACTAGTTAACGCTTCATCGTACATATCTCTCACCAAGTCGATGTAGTGTCTGAAGATACGTTTCTTTTCCAACACCCATCAAATCAAATATCAAGGTACTTATCGTAAGCTTTCTCTAGATCAATAACGATCATGTGGAGGTCTTTTTCCTTCGCCTTAAACTTCTCAATCAGTTGCTTAAGTAGGAAAAACAGTATCAGTTGTTAACCTCCCTGGTATAAAACCGAATCGGTATTCTAATACATTCATTTCATGCCTTAGTCATTGCTCAATCACTTTCTCCTAGAACTTTATAGTGTGGCTTATAAATTTGATCAATCGATAATTCACACAATTATGTATGTTTACTTTGTTCTTGTAAGTAGGTACCACAATACTTTTCTTCTATTCGTCTGGCAGTTTTTTTGTTCTCAACACCTTGTTAAATAGCTTGGTTAGCTAGTCAATGCCAATTTCTTCCATGCACTTTCAAAACCTCTATCGGGATACTATCGGGTCCTAAAGTATTTCACATCTTCATCATTTTCAAAGCTTCATTTACTTCCGATATCCTTATCCTATGAATGTATCTATGACCTCCGCCCTCATTTATGTTAACAGTGCTTTCTACCGCTATGTTTCCATTGTGTTTGTCATGTAATAATTTTTTCAAATAAACTCTTCCCCTTTCGTTGACATCTTCATCATTCACCTAGACCCTTTGATCCTTACTCTTAATGCATTTAATAAGGTTTAGAACCCTACACTTTGTCGCTCATTTTTGTTAATTTGAAGACATCGTTTTCACCTTTTTTGTTCCCAATTTACTGTATAGATTATTATATGCATTATGTTTAGTATTACTATTTGTTTAATGTTTTTTTTAGCATTTTTATATTATTCTAAGTTTTGATTAGTTCCATTACGCTGCCAAGTTTTATAACATGATTTCTTTTCGTTAATGGCCTTTTGAACCTCATCACTCCACCACCAAGTTTCCTTATCAGAATTTCTTTTTCTTCTAGATTCTCTTAAAACCTTTTTTGCCACTTTCTTAATAAATCACCAACTCATTCCACATAACATTGACTTCATGTTCAGAGTTTAATTTTCATTCTTTAACTAATTTATCCTTAAATAAGTCTATTTTCTCATTTTTTAAATTCCACCACCTAGTTCTTGGACACCTATTAAGTTCACCCCTTTTCTTCCATATCTTTATGCAGGCGTTGATAACCACGAACCTATGTTCAATAGTCAAACTCTCTCCTGGGATAACCTTGTAGCCTTTACATGACGGTAGTCTACCTTCTGAATTAGAAAAAAAATCTATCAAGCTTTTATAGGTTATTAAATGATCATCTTGTTTTTTAAAGTAAGTGTTTGTTATTGCTAAGTCGTAAGTCATAGCAAAAATCTAGAATAGCCCCACCCATCTCATTTCTTTCCCCAAACCCATATCCCCCATGTACCCCTGCATATCCTCGGCTATCACTCCCTACAAACCATTTAAATCCCCTCCTAAAAAGGTCATCCCTCCATTTGGTATGTTTTGGGCTACTCGATCAATGTCCTCTCAGAATTGTCTCTTAATTCTATTTTCTAATCCTACTTGTGGTGCATAAGCATTAATTATGTTAATTATCTCTTCCCCTAATACAAGTTTAATTAATAGGAGCCTATCACCTATTCTCTTGAAATTAACTACTTTATCTTTTATTATCCTTTCATGTATACCAAAGTTTTTATTCATCGATTTCTTTAGCTTTTTCTCCTTTCCATTAAGTTTTTGGTAGACAAGCTATGTTTACTTTCATTCATCTGATTGTATCCATCAACTCCATACCCTTAAATGTAAGAATTCCTATATTCAATGTGACTAGACGAATCCTATTTTTTTGTACTAATTTCTTTACCCGTGCTCGTCCAGAATGTCGTGGGAACCATTGCTTATTTTTTACCACAATCGGACGGTGTTGTGGTCTCTCGCTTCTGGGGAACACCCTAGCTAATCCTTACTCATTTCTCACTATACCCAAGTTCAGGTACAACGCGTTACTTCTGGGGAATGCCTTAGTATGGACAGAAAACATAGGTTTAAGATTCATGATAGATTTTGACAAAATTTTACGTTAGTTGCCTACCTAACACAACCCAACACCTCCCATTTACAAATAATTTTGCATAAGGAAAATTGTTTCATGCGGGCTGGACTGCATGACTACATATGCGGTCCAAAAAATGTACAGCATCCATTTTAAAGATGGATACAAGTAGGTATTCCATCTAAAAACAATGGAAACTAATGGTCCAAATGTTTTTTACTTTAATTATTATTTTAGTTTTAAAATTTACTTATTTTATCATATTCAAGATCTCTATATAAGAGATAACATGTCTTTTAAAAGTAAGTCAAAAAAATCCATTCCAAAACACATTTCTACACATGAGGGATTGGCCGCATAGAAACCGGGTCCTTTACATAAGGGTTACAAAATTTTGAGACCGCCATCTTTCTTTTGCAGGCTTTCTTTCTAAGACAAATGCTTGGTCTGTATCATACCATTCTTTGTACATTTGAACATAAGTGTTGGACGAATATTCCTAGATAACCTTTGTGCAACCTGTTTGTTTTTTCTCAGTTGGAGGCGCGTAGTTCCTTCAAAAAGTGACTTATCGTGATTAGAAATAGGAAGATCTTGCATATGCTAAGTGAGTACACATACCACAATCAAAGTGAGCAAAACAAACCAAATAGCACGAGGAGCAAATCAAACTTTTGTCAAGAATAACTCCTCTGAGCGCGCTCCACTGTTAATTTGGCCATTACCCCTTAATGTTTTGATGTATCATATGGTAAATGTACAAAGCCAAAATAACAAAGAAAATCCTTTCTTTAAATGTTGGTAGTTTCTAGACTTACCAGTGAATAATTTAAAGCGATGATAAAAAATTGAAGCCATCGAAGTTTTAAGGAATTTAAGCGAAAGCACGTTTTACTTTGTGCTTGGACTTTAAAAAAATTAAAAAAAACACCTTAGCCAGAAACGCCTCCATAAGATATTTGGTATCCAAAATTTCAACGATAATCTAAAAATATATTTTAGGTCTAATTATGAAGGAAAAAGTTAATATAAGGTTGACGCTCTAAACGATTAAATTAAGACCCATCTCAAAAAGTTCACTAGGAATTTCAATGTCAAATAACCCTCAAATAGATCATTTCAACCTCGAGAGGTATAGACAAAAAAAAAAACATAGATTTCAAACAGTGCATCTTGTAATATACATTTGAGCCGTTGATTTTTAATATTTTCAAGTGTTTATTCATCTCCTCAATCGACACAATTTTTAAGGCTTGAAATTTTCAAGATGAAAATTAATTTTCACACCATCACAAAGATTTTTGCTACAAAAAAACTCATCTTTTGACACTATTTAAAGGTACGCCTTACTTTGATTGTTTAGGGCCTCATACAAACCACACCCAATTATGAAAATAAAACTCAAAAAACAGTATAGATTGAATATATCTACAAACACTTGGATCTTGCAAATAAATAGTCTAGCTAATGTATTACAAGATGCACCAGTTTTAAAATTTGAAATTATTCCCCATATCTATTCATCTGGAGAATGTGATGATCCATTTGAGGGTTTTTCGATATCCGAACAATCCTTTTCAATGGATTTTTTATGAGTGCCTTGCTTCTATGATCTCATGCACTCAAGACCTCACATGCCACTTCCCTCAAAACTTTGCTTTGCAACGGAGCAAGTATTTCAAATGAAATAATGATAATAATAAAAATTAGAGAAATGATATTATGAGACCCTCCTACACCTATGTGAGTAGGACTCCAAATGATCACCATTCAATTTGACACAGATCTCTAAAAAAATTATCACATAGGTGGGGGATTTGACTTTTCTAGAGATATGTGCCAAATTTGATGGTGATCATTTGGAATCCTATTCACATGGGTGTGGGAGGATCTCATAGGATCACTACTCTAATAATAATAACTAGTAATGGTACTGGTCCCTATTTTCATAAAAATTCACAATATCAACTATTAAATAATTATCATCCCCTCAAACATATTTCAATCATCACAGCAGGAGACAAACAAAACACCCCTGAAAATACACTTGAAGAGACCCCAAATAAAAGGAAAAACATCAAAAAAAGAAAAAGTGATGGGAAATAGATCAAGATTGAAAAGAGAGTGAGGGCGATACCAGTCAGTCACACCTGGTCCTCGAGCTCCCAAGGGTCAGCTCCAAGTCATCAGACCCGCACTCATCATGAATCTTCTCTCCCTGCCATGGCTTCACCACCCCAAATGCAAACTCATCCGACGCCTCTACCATCCTTACATCGCCGCTCTCCACATTGCAAGGTGAGCATGTACCGCTCCCTGCTGGGGCCCACAAACCCCCAAATGGATTGCTACTTGCCGGGCTTACCAAGCTGAACGTCGGGGACATGGGCCCACCAGCAGGAAGCCTAATCCCCGACAGCCAATCGCTTGCGACCTGGCGGCCAGGGCTTGGAGGGGTAGAATTGGGAAAGAACGAAACTGAGTTTTCTCCATTTTTGGTGAAGTCCCAATCGCTTTTGACCCGAGGCCCACGAGAGGTCGGGGAGCTCAGAGGAGGAGTGACAGGAGCACTAATGGAGCCGCCGTGAATGTATAGGGAGGGGAGCTTGTGGGATGATGGGGAGGGAAGGTTTTTGAGCCATGGGATGAGAGAGGAGCCATCGGTGTATGAGGAGGCAGGGGATGGGAAGGAGGAGGAAGCAGGAGAGGGATTGTAGGAGGGGCCAGGGCTCGGGTGGTAGGACGAGCACGGGCTTGCGGAGGCCGAGCCACCGACTATGTCCATGCGCTCCACTGGCTTGCACCCCTGCAAAAGTGAGACAAGTTAGTTCCTTAGTATGAGTTATTATACCGTTTGGAAAGAGGGAATAAATAGCAAAGATGATGAGAGATGATGAAGACATGAAATAGATTTAGATTTTCCTTCTCTTTGTTCTTTCCTTGGGTTTGATTTGAATGGCATACAAGTGAAAGGAAACAAGAGAGAGTCAGATCGTTTTTCCTTTGAACAAAGATAAATATGTTCGGCAATAATCCTGTGAGACCCAGTCCCACACGAAACACATAGGACACGGTTCTGTAATGCCAAATTTAAGGAGTTACAGATCATCTACCACAGACAGTGACAATCGGGGTCCCACACATTTTGTGTTGGATTAGGTCTCTTATAACCATTCCCCTCACATGATGACTCCATCAAACGAAGCACTTGCTGCTGTCAAAAGACCATATGGATGACAAAATTCTTGAGAAGGTAGAACATGGGTTGTTTTCCTTTCTTATTAGGGGAAGCTTGGTTCAACTAACCACCTCAAGGTTGCAGCAAGAAAAGCCTCCAAAGTGAAGAGATAAACTTAAGTTTTGAAAAATAAAATATAACAGTAGAAAAGATGGGTAAGACAAATACTTATAGTAGTCTTATATAATCAGTAAGCAAACTAGCCTGCTCGACATGCATTGCCTGATTGCAAGCTTGCAAAAGAAAAACAGCCAAACTCAGAAAGAGGAAATGTAACACATTGGTAAGGTCTAAACAAAAAAAAGGGTCTGCTAGTACATGCACGTGTGTGTGCCTCTAGACCGTGAAAGCTGAAATAGCCATGCATGAGGGGACTGCATTAAGAAATGTGGTGCTTTTAAACCGAGATTGAAGTGATTTAGATTGAAGTGATTTTTCCAGTTATTGAAGAAGCACAGGGTAATACTAGGAAATATGTTTTCCATAAAATGAAAAAACCAGTATTCCATCAAGAGAAACCGTTATATTGAACACACAGAAAATGCATGAGAGATCATTTCTTCCATCAGAGGCATTTCTTAGAGGGCTAAGATCCAGTAAATCCAGCAATTGAGAATATGAAAATACATAAGAATATAAAACATTCTGATAGCACATTGTACACCATGAAACTGAATAAAGGCAGGAACCAATTAAATAACCTAGTAATGCAGATAAAAGATGTCCCCTATCCTGAAGAGCAGTTTGGATTTCATGAGTGTGACCTGCCATGCACATATTAGAGCAAAAAGGTACTTACTAAAAAAGGTCAAAATGAATGAAGCAGAATGACAAACAAATTAGTTATTGGTCAAACAAGGCCACTGTTCCCATCTTATTCAAGTTAAGGAATAACAAAAAAAGCAGACTGAGTATTGGGATGACAACAACTTTCACATGAAATACAACAACCTCCAACACCCCCAACTCCCTCCCCCCCACAACCCCACCCCACAAACTTCTCTTTCATAAAAAAGAAAATTTTTATCATAAAATAAAAAGCAAATCTAGTAAATCATATCAAAGTCGTGTGAGCAAAAGTAGTTCGAAAAACATTTATTTAGAAAGAAATGCATGAAAGATCATTTCTCCTATTAGAATATTTCTTAGAGGGCAAAGGTCAAGTAAATCCTTCAATGGGGAACATGAACATAAATAAGTACCCAAACCTTTCCAAAAGCACATGGTACACCATGAAATTGAATAAGAGCGGCGACCTATTAAACAACCAGTAATCCAGATAAAGATATCTCTGTTCCTGATGAGCAGTTTGCATTTCATGTGATAGTGACCCTTGCCATGAGCATATATTCGAGGTCAAAAGTATTTCTCAAAAGGGTCTAAATAATTGCACCAGAATGACTGAAAGTCAAGTTACTGCTTAAATAAGGTCAGTGATTTCATCACATCCAAATTAAGGAATAAGAAAAGCTGAATATGAGTACAGGGATGACAAGAACTTTCACATGAAACATAACAACCTCCACTCCCATCCATCTGATGTTTCAAGTCAAAAAAATTTCTTATAAAATAAAAAGAAAATCACTTAAATCACATCAAAGTCATGCAACTTAAGAGTAGCCATCATGATTAGTAATAGATTTAAAATTATTTGCAAAGTTCTGCATTTGAAAGGATTAAAAAAAATTAAAAATTAAAAATTAAAACCCATTGCTCCTCGAATCCAAATCTATTAGGCATCTGCACCTGGCATATATTCCAATTTTACTATGGTCAGGCTTGAGAGAGTGCGCTGAATGATGCAAACAAAGAATGTTCACCATTTTTCAAAAAACTCAAAAAGAAAAAACGAAAAGAAAAAGAAAAAAAGATACCCCAGAACATGGAAATATCAATTGTTTCTTTCATTGATGGAGATCACACTATTTTCTTTTATAGATGGAAAGCATATCATCTACTACCGAAAATGTCCTAATGTTCTTTTCAGAAGAGAAAAATACATCCACTTTCCAAAAGAATTGGGACACTGATTCATAGAGCTGTTCATCATGAAAATTAGCACAAGGGCATTCCCCAGAATTGACACGTTAAGTCACAGTACATGGGCATGACAGTGTAGATTTTAGACGCACGTAAGGCTAACTCATTCTTTAAAAATCGACATATTTCTTCATGTTCCCAAAGAATTATCCACTGATCTGTAGCTATCTATGATACAACTACATCCTGACAAGCAAATCAAGAATTTAGAAACCCTGAAAGGGGTAAAGAAAAAATACGATGAGAACTCTTAATCAAACTTACCTACAATCATACTTTTCAATAATTGAGTCACCCATTCTAATTAACCTAAACATGATACACAAATAAAGAGGGCATCTCATCCTGAGGAAGATTCATCACCAGTAAGAAAAATTCTTAATGTGCAAATATAAAAGCCCAAATATGCCAAATTTTTAACAACAATTGTCTCATTGATCAGATGCAGAGACATGCAATGTGAACAGAGATAATATCAAGAAGCCTGTCTTATTAACAAAAATACCATCAGACAGTAATCACAAAGAAAATGAAAGGGGACATATAAGGAGGAACTTTCTATCATACCTTTCTATATGTAGTTCCATCTTCTTCAACAGTCCACCCTGCTTCAGCACATAGGGCTTTCAATACCTCATTGTTGTCGCAGTGTTTGGGAAGCTTGTAGTTTCCATACATTCGAAGCCCCGCATATATCTTTGCAGCTATCGCTCTTCTCCTTCGTTCCCTTCTCTTGTTGTTCTCTCTTTCCTTCCAAGTAGGCAACCTCGTACCAGAAGTCATGATGCTTACAACTTAAGAAAACACCAATGGGGTTCACAAAGTCAGTCCCTTCCAGTTTCAATTATCTTCTTCTCACCACTGCAGAAGACAGAGAGCCCTAATTTGGCTCCTTCTAGAAACAGAGATCAAAAAGGGAAACCCTATTTCCAATCCTTTTAAACCTCAAGCAACCCCAACTCCAGTCAAGAGCAACGCTGTTATGAAAACCCAACAAAATAATCAATCAAACCTGGATCCCAAATGCTCCAAGTCCTGATCTCAAATGCACATAAGGAAAACCCCAGTTCGAAACCTATTGCGCTTCAAGGGTTTCAACAAGACATTGAGATCAACTGCAATACCTTCTGACTTAAAAACTCGCAAGTGTTTAAAACCAGATAAGTCATAGTCCCATCCGAAACAACTGTAATCTTCCAAACAAAAGAGGAAAAATAATCTCTCTCAAATAACTGAAAGCCAATTCAGTTCCTCCCTTATTGAACCCCCTGAATCAAAAGTAAGTCTAGATCACGATACCACATGCCTGATAAACCAAAACCTCAGTAACGCAAATGTAATACCAATGATAAAGCTAGTTCGCCACCAAAAACCAGGTGCTTTTGATCTGGTCGTAAAGCAGTCAGAAAACTCTAGAAAATCCCAAAAGAAGCTGCTTCTGAAAACCCTAACCCAAACGGACCAATCTAAACAGATATGCACTCTCTTCCAAAGCACCTTTTCCCTTTTTTTCTTTTCGCTAGCTCTTTCGACCCTTAAAATCAACGTTTCCACACATGAAACCCCAGGGAATCCCTAGAAAACCGCTTTTACCAGGCTAAAACCACCCAAAACACCACGTAAAACCGCTTTTCACTAAAAACCACTTTCCTCAGCTGAAATCGCTTAATCACGAGAACAGGATCAAGCCATCACAAACTCCAGTAGAATTCTTTAGCAATGATCGGATCATCAAGCATTTGCACTGTCAAAGCTCTTCCAAATAGAAGAAATAGCAAAAGGCTCAGAAACCCGCTATTTCCCACACTTACCAGCTCTGGAAACCCTAAAACCTCCCTGCCATTACCATTAAAATATCTCCGAGACTTGGATCCAAGTTTCCAAAACGATTCATACGCTTAAAATCCAAAACAATTCTAAAACCAGGAGCATTTGACTTCTGGCTATCGGACCACTCTCGACAAGAGCTCAATAAACCAGAGACCACTCTCGTTTAGAGAGAGAAAGGGATTTAGGGAGATAAAGGGATTTAGGGGGGGATTTAGAGGGAGAGGGAGAGAGGTCAGAAGGAGTCGGAAAACCACTTCCGGTATTGAAAAACCGGAAGATTACACACTGCATAAACCTCGAGACATCAAAACCAGGCGTCAGAAAGACCCTGGGGTTTTTTTTTGTAACGGAGGACATAACCTGGCAGAAATTCCTAAATTACCACTGATTGTTTACAGAAATTACAGGTTATGCCCCCAGCCAGGAATCCACCGCTGCGCGTGTATCGAGGTGGGTGAAACCTCGGGGACTCACTCCTGAGCTGCTAATTATTTTGACAAAATTACCCTTCCCGGACAAATCACTTTAGCAATGAAAAAGTCCCCAATGTTGCAAACAATATCACAACTAATCCTTGTATTCTTTACCCGAGCGAAGATTTGGTCATAAGGCAACGGGAGGGCATTCCCGTCATATAAGGGGCTCCTTTATTGTCATTTGATAAAAGATTGGAGGCATTAGTTTTTTTCGTTAGAAAAGGCAAAAAAGAGAAAAAATAGAAAGGGATTGGGGACCACAAAACCCAAAGGGGCAAAAAGCACGTGCCCCACACAAGGGCACACCCCCCCCCCTTCTTTTTGACGGGTAAAAAAAGAAGACCGTTGAAAGTTTCGGCTACTTTTCTCGGCTCGGCTCTATTGGCCTTGGCTCGGCATCTCTAATGCCCAATCAACGGTTCAAATTAACACCTTATCAGAATAAAGATATCTGGGTCGTCCAAAAGTTTAAGAGTGATTACTCTGTCTTTGACTACTAGGGCTGGCCCGGGCCAGCCCGGCACCAAACCGCACCTCCCCATAGGGCCGGCTTCGGCCCGCCTGGCCCTACATGCGGACCCGTGATTGGCTGGCATTGGCTGGGCCCTCAAGCCACATTATGTGGCTCATACCCTAGTTTTTTTAGGACGAGTTGGTCCACCTGGCCCATTGTCACTTCTATTGGCCAAGATAGGCCCATTACCCCCCTATTGGCCGAGAGAATCTGATTTGTAATTTTTATTTTATGTTTTCCTACAAAAATTTAGCCATTATGAGGAGTTTACGCGGAGTGCGAGTTTAATCAAGGATGAGGTTTCTATAAGGCCAAGGTTTTATGAAAACATAATATAGTCTCACCTCAAATCCTTATTCGGAAAGCACTTTCGGCCATGAAAATTTACATGATGATTCTAAAATTAATTTCCAACATCAACAATGAAATTTGAAACTTTAAAAATGGTAAAGATCTTGTAGATCATTGAACACTTATTTTTAGGGCGAAATGGATAGTTTAGATAATTTGTTATGTTACACTCTATTTTTAGAGCTTGAAATCCTAAATTTTTTTTCATAACCATAATGTTCAAGCCAAGATGATCGATGTAATGGTTTTTCCAATGCTTGAATTGCAATTTTCGATGAGTTACGTATGGGGTGTAGATCTACTTATTTTGATACGGTTGCAGCCCTATCAAACAATTTTCCTTTAATCAATGTATGTAGAAGTATAAGCAAAAAGATTTCGTACTCCCGCGAAAGCATGAATATGAGCATAAGCATTAAGTAGCTTGTAATCGGCTCTTAGACGTAAAACTAGGTAAATAGAAATGAATAATGGTTTCATGCAGGCTAGACCATATTTCTACAATATGCGGTCCAAAGGTATAAAGCATCCATCTTAAAGATGAATGCAGACATGTGGTCCATCTCAAAACAATTGTAAGTAACGATCCAAATGTTTTCTTAATATAATTTTTATTTATAGTTTACATTTGTTTCTTTTTTATTCATGATCTCCATATTAAAGATTATATATTTTCTAAAAATTAGGATCAAATTATACTTTAAAAATATATTTATTGCCAAGCGCACATTTCTACATCATGCAGGTTGGCCACATGCTAACCTCGTCCAATAGAAAAGAGTGTTATTTGACGATGCTAAAAAAGAGTGCTACTGAGCATTCAACATTTTTTTCTACTATTCACGTGTATTTTGATTGGCATTTGGAAATTAAACTAAAAGGATTGTATATAATTAGAGTATATACCTTTGGTACAAGAAAGTCACACTTACTTATAACCATCTAATGTGAAATCTAATGGCTTGGTGTGTTACAAAGTTCAATAAAATTTCTTTTGAACTTTGAGTTGAATTATTGAAATAAATAGAACGACCCAATTTCGCATCCAATAGTCAAGACACTACCTTGTACCAAAAGTAAATGGTCTCATTATATACCTTTCCTAAACTAAAACATATGTATAAAAAACTAAATAGTTAATGAGGAGTTAATACATTATGTATATTTTGATGAATTTCCCTTTTTGTATTTATGGGTATACAATTTGAATACATCATTTGAATCATTTGTTAGCCAAGCACTGAGAAGAACTATAAAGATTGGAAATAACGTTTAGAGAATCGGTAGAAACAATGAAACTTGAGAAAGTAGAATGCGACGGGTTCCCCATGACTAAATGAATATGTCAAAAAGAAAATTGTTTCATGCGGGTCGAATCGTCTTTCTACAATATGCGGTCTAAAAGATAGATGCAAATACGTGATTCATCTAAAAACAAGTGTAACTAACGCTCTAAATATTGTATTAATATAATTATTATTTCTAATTTTCAAATTTTTTTTTTTCATATTCATGATCTCCATGTTAAAGATTATATATTCTCTAAAAATTAAGATCAAATTATATTTGAAAAGTATATTTATTGCCAAACCTACATTTCTACAATATGTGGGCTGGCCGCATAGAAACCGTGTTCATGTCAATCGTGTGTGTATAAGAACTAGGGAAGTCACTCCTTTTCCCCTCATAGAAAAGGGAAAATTCTGACTTTGACTTCATATTTGCATAGAAAGCATATAAAAGGTTTACGAGAAATATTTTGGAAATTGCCGGGTTTTAAAACATTGACATACAACCAAGACCAAAGGATAGAAAGATTGAATGGTGCTTATTACTTTGTAAATTGTTTATACAAAATCTCCAACACATGGTCCCTCTAATGTCGGAGTGCCTCCAGGCCCTCTAATGTCAACAAAGGATGGTAAGGGCAATCAAGCACTCCAGGAAAAGGACAATAAATAAATAAATAAATAAATAAAGAAGAATGAAAGAAAAGAAAAAGAGGAAAACAAGAATTGTATGGGTAAGCGTACGTGAAATGATAATATTTGAGACAAAAAAGCTTGTTAGTTTTGTAATTTTTGTAGGTGACTCCTATAATAGCATCAGATGGTGTACAACTGAGTAGAGATTCTTTAAAACTTAACCAAAAGTATTTGCAGACCATTTATTTTTAGTACAAAAAGATCTTAATCACTTTTGTCTGTTAGATTTTAAATCGGATAGTTATGAGAGTGTCATTGACTAGACTCTAAGTTCAAAAAAAAAAAGTTTGAAGTTTATAACGCATTCGAAGTTATCCAATTTGACATTTAATGGTTACGAATAATTGTAACATATATGTAACAAATGGCCTCGCAGTATTCTCAAATGCACAAAAAAAAAAAAACGAATAGAGTCGTTGAGCATAATGAGAGGTTCATGAGTCTTGTTCCTATAAGGATAATGTATTTGCTCATTATTTGAATTAATAAAATTAAAGCAGCTTAGTCAAAAAGGACGGCATGAATCTCCTTATCGTCAAATTTCAAAGTCACTTTTGATAATCAATATTTTCTAATCGTGGATATATTGCATGTCTATATTAGTAAGGAAGATGTTTTTACGAGGATGCAGCCCTATTAAAATTCTCATAAAAAATTGATGTAAAAAAACTTTCAAGTCAATCATCTCGCCCGCAATTATCTTGATTGTAAAAAAAAAAAAGATTTTAAACCGTAAAAATAGTGTATATTATAACATATTATTTAAAATATCCATTTTACCCTAAAATTTAATTCTTTATGGATCTGCATAATTTGTCTTATTTTAGAACCATCATAGAGATTTTTGAAATGAGGCTTTACTTAAAAATTGATTTTAGAACCATAGTAGAGATTTTTGAAATGAGGCTTTACTTTATCGTATTAGTAAAGACCAAAATATTTGGGCGGATTACTCTGGTCATCGGTCGTCCCAAATTTTGGGGACCTCAAAGATTATTGTAATTTGTGATGAGTTATAAGGTGAGGCTTTAGTTATTTTGATACCCCTGTAGCCCTATCAAACTATTTTTCGAAAAAAAATAGAACAGGAGAATTAAACTCAAAAGTGCAGTTGTACAACATACTCTCGTAGGAGCACAATATCTTTAAACCATTTCCAGATTTTCCTTGCACTCAAATCCTGACTCTGTCCCCGCAGAGTAATTGCACGTGCGAGACGAGGCTCAGCAGTGGCCATCTGATGAGCACGTGTCAGCTCCCCCTTATATATAAAAAAAGACTGGGGACACAGAGTTAGAGAGAGAGGCACAGGGGTGTCAGCGTGACGTCCACGTGGATCGTGCATGCCTACTTTTACATATGAGTACGTGCGTTATGCTTCTGAAGGAGCATATTATGCGTATACTCCTTCGTGTAAAGATTATTTTAGTCTGAAATTTGGCAGCCACGTAAGAACTACACGATGATTACTTTTCAAAAGAAGAAATTTTCATTTTCATTTTTTTGGGAAAATTGTTTCATGGGGGTTGTATCGCATTTCTACATGTTCAAAACATATAAAGTATTTATATTAGAGAAAGGTTTATATGCTTTCTGTACAGCACAGAAGTTCTATCATGCCCCTACCATCTAGCTGTCCAATTTTGATCAAAAGAGTCACTCACCCTTTGATCTTAGATCCGACATCTTAAAGTATGTTTTTTTTATTTTTATTTTTATACAAATTGAATGAATATGAAATTTGGTATGTGTCATTTTCTCATTGGGGCGCACCTATAAAAAATATTAAAAATAAATTTTCGATAACATATAGTGACCAAAATACCCCTTGAAACTTTCAGGGGTATTTTGCTCATTTTATCTTTATGAAAATATTTTTTTTTTAATTTTTCGCTAGTGCGAGTTTAATAGAGGAATGGACATCCAAAATTTGGTGTAAAAATAGTTTATAAAAAAACAATTAAAAATAAAATAGTGTGGAGATATGACATTGTGATTGGGGCAAT